GAGCCTTGATCCTAGTCAAAACGTCATACTAGATAAAATAACAAGAGAATTCAAAGTAAATTCTATATGGATGTATGGGACAAGTAGTGTTAAAAATATACAATTATAACTCATAAAATTCTCTTAATAAAAATCAGACACTTAAACGGTAGATCTAAGTCAAGATTCATGAGTATAGTTAAGTAGCTATAAGGTTATCGACATACATAAATATTTCTTAACTCCTCTTGAATAACTTCTCTATTAAAACAAACAGTTACGCAATAACTTCATTATAAACGAAAAACTATGGTACAGTAACAATACAATAAACCCGCATGAGTAACTCTCACCGTAACAGAAACGTAACTTACGTTTGTTTATAAAACTTCACACGCATCACTTGGATCGGAATCCGTCTTAGAATAATATCTATACAACAATAATCTCAAATATGTATAAACAGGTATAACAATCGATAAAACTATAACAATAAAAATATTGTATTGCTATTATAATATCTAAAAGAAAAAGCTATGTAAAAAATGCGGACCAATCCCCGTTGAGTATTGGTTTGTTTACGGTCGTCGAGATTCCGAAGTAAACCGAACAATTCCGAACGCAACGGTCTCCGCTGTGGCACTCGTGCGCAGGTCGCGATGACTCGAGTGAGGAGTACACGGCCACAGTGTAAGGGGAAAGTACATCATGTTCTCCAATATTTTGGGTAAGGTCACAGGATAAATTAGAACTACATAAATGAAATCAAATTGTGATTTCATGTGCCAAAAGTGTGATTGGTTTAAAACAGTGTGATGTGATTATATTTCTGTGAAAATGTGCCTTTTGCTAAAATGTTTCAGGTATGTAGTTAATTTTTAAATATTGTTTTGTTCTTACCAAAGACATCCGGTTCTTCCACAACTCCAATGACCAATTACGTAAAAATCTAACTCTTTCGCGATGCGTGATTAGATGGTATTCGTTGAATATTTTATTCATCTTTAATTATGATTATGACTCAACGTATCCATTTTTCTCATGTTAACAACAGTACTATAAACTGAATGGTGGCCATAAAATGCTTCATATAAAGTGAACATAAAATGAAAGTCCTACTGTGGAATGTCAGGTTTTTAACTGCCATAGACAAGTCTAACAACGATGACCTTGAGAGCGTCATTAAGTTATTGGGTGCCTCTTCTAGCCAGTTTGTCTGATGCGAAAGATTTTCTATACTATTAACTTGACCTGGAAGATTATATATAATCTGAAATTCCCTTTAAATTATAAATTCACAAGGAATGTAATTCATTAACCACTAAAGTTAAAGTATCTATATCTGAGCTGGTACTTTTGAATAGTTTTGCATTCCCAGATTACTCCAGATACTGTATTACTAAAGTTTAAATTTACTGCTTCAAGAAAATTTCTCAGACATTCTGGCAAAGTTTTGCAAACGTCCTAAATGGCTCAATGGTCCAATTCTAAAACCAACTTAGGATTGAATGTCGCAACGACCTTGTACCTGACATTTGCGTAGTTAAGTCATCTCTACAAAAATGCAGTCGCGACGTGCCTACATTATCATCTACACCCGTCCTACTAATTATATTAGTACCACGTTCAAGATGATTATCATGTTTTTGTCACTTCTTGCAACCTTTAAAGCCAACTTCGTTTTTTCCTCTCAAAGGTTAGATTTAATCTTTTACTACCTTTTGTCTCTTAGTTTTGTCTTTGTCCTTATGTTTTTCGTTTATTGCGTCAATGAGTTCTTAGTCTGATGTCCCAAGTTGGGCAGACATATCAGGAGCAATTTTATTGGATCCGAAAAGTTTGTAGATTCCATTAAACTTTCGATAGACATCGTCCAGAATTTGGCTTTTACGATTCCTTCGTGATTGCGTGTCCTCATTTGTCCCTCTTGGTATCTTGAGATTGTTTTTGTGTCTCTCGTATGAATCTTTTTGCGAATTTAGTGTCATTGCGTCCGTACACCCTATATCAACTTCATTATTATTCTCATTTTTATAACCCAATAGCTTATCATATAAAGCATTAGAACCATGTTAAAACTAATAAGCATTATGCCAAGATTTATTATCATTTAATCTTCACGCTTCATGGCTTACCTTGGACGTATAGAATTATGGATATACATCCATCTTTACTACGTACTTGTTTAAATTATGTGGGGATTAGGTCATCATCATATTTTCAAGATGGCGTGATGCTATGTCGTATTATAAATAAAGTCACAGAACTACAGAGAAACTCTCTTTTTGGAGTTTAGTGTGGTCTTTGAAAACGGCCTTTATTTCGAACAAGATAAAGTCTTCCTTTCTTTAAGATATAAGAAACTCCTACAAAATTAATCTATTCCTTAGAGATGACCTTGGCATGTGCGGTCTGATGCCAATGACTTTACTAGAACAAAATTCCGTGAAATTCATGAATGCTAATTGGATTTCGAAGATCTTCAATTGTATTACATCGATTTTATTATACGGAAATTGCTTCATGAAGCCTGGGGGCTTTGATATTAATTTTGTACGCATGTAATTGTAATATCCACGGTTTTATCAGTTTTGAAGTTGTTGAAAGAAAGTTATGGATCCAGTGTAACCTTTATACTGTTCATACCTTAGTTATGGTCCTTAACGGCCTTACGAAGCAACAGAATCTGATCTATCTGTTCACTGTTCCATAGGCAAAACACAAGCAACTCAGCCTTTTTTATCGCTTCGTGATTTTCCACGCGATGCTTTGTCGCTATTTCAATGAAACATTGTTCCTTTCGAAGAATTTTAAAAACAACTTTTCTGACTTCAGCTGTACTGTGAACATGAGTATGTGCGGTCAACCTCACGCCAGAAAATACAGCGTAACTTTAAAAACAAACGTTACTACTGCGTAATAACGACCCTGATTGATGTCATCAGGTGTAACAAATATATTTTCATCGTTTCCAAAATTACAATCTTTTGATTTTTATAATAACTATCGTGAGATATACTAAATTAACTAAAAATCGCGGGTTCCTAACGTGACTATACTGAGAAAAGCTCGTTTCGAACCACAGAGGGGTTCTTCCTCATGAGCAGCGTGAGCGGTCGCGGTCAGTAGGCCGCGCGACATCGCCAGTAACCCGCGATTTTTAGTTAATCTTTTGATTGTTAAGTTAAAGTCTCAACATATAAATTACTTAGGTATCATCAGCGTCACGAAATGTCTTAAAGATTGATAAAGTTTCTTCGATGGCACAAAAAAAATTAAGTCACTGGTTACTATACCTTGAAGGATACCAAAATAACCGAATGACCAAAGCCTTGAAGGATAAAATAACCGAATATTCTAAATCATCACAAAATATTTTATCATCACTGTATATTCGTTTACATAGTACTATAAATACCGTAACACATGCTTAAGATAAAATTTTAAATTTAAATGAACATGCTTAGTTGATGAGGCAATATTTTAATATATGTAGGTGACGTAATCAAGAAGTATAGGATTATACATAGTGATATTTAAAGGGGTATGTGGGTCTTAATGATTACCCAATAACATATTTGATTGGAATAATTTAATCTAAGTTGAATCTAAGGTGGTTTCTGTGTTAACAGTCATAATAAAGCTGTAGATACAGATGATACTAATCCTAAAATTCTGGGCCATATGGAAGGAAACGACTCTTTCTTTTCCTCTCTGTTTTACAAAAGAAATAAAATAGCATACCTTATGTCCAAATCTTTCCACTTAAAATCCTCCAGTTTGTAATCGTTTTCGAAACCATCCATTCTAATTACCATTCTTTCTCTCAAACCTTTGTCAAGACGGATATCCAGCTCCCTTTTCTAAAAACCCATCTATGTCAGCCATGTTAAATTGCACGGTAACAAGTATAGGAAGTAGAGGGTCAAGGTCATTGTCTTCAAACGGTTGACGATTTTACGTAACCGCGTTCATAATGAAGTCGTCACGAGTTTTTTGTTTCTTTTCGGTTAAATTGTTACATGTGCTGGCATCTAGTTTGTGATGTTTACATGGTTTTTGGTGCTTTGGAAATTGGTATGTAGAGGTAGTATAAAGATTTATGAGAAAGATGTGTTGAGGATGGGATGATCGTGGGTGTACGAGAAGTTTGGGTAAAAGAAAATTACAGATAATTATTTTTTTGAGGGTGTATGTTCTAAATATGGCTGTAGTGACTGTTTTCTATGGGATATAAAAACTTTGACACTTATAAAATCATTTAGGAGAGGTATACAAACATTACGTAGACCTGGAGGTATAATTAGAGTGATATACGAATCATTATTTGTTTTTAATATATTAGTCATATCCATGATCTATAAAATGCCTACTAGAACAAGTTCTAACGCAACCCGTTCCGGCAATTAAACTGCAATTAGTTAATTGACAGATTAAATGAATAAGCTTGATTAACGGAAAATTACGCCTAAAATGGTTTGATTGGTTATTCAATCGTTTACAAACTACAAACATACTTGTTTTGAGAAAACTTGGTCCCACTTGACTGTCTATTGCGAAATATATATAGCTGTATCCTCTGAGGATTATCCTCGTTAGTCTCATCGTTTTTCTTCAAATTAAATAATATACCTTAGCGCTTGACAGTGATGGATTCCTCCAGGGAACTTCTTGGCGTTCGTAAGTCGGACGAATGTTCAATTTACTTCCTCCCGATGAGATTATATCAATTCAAGTTTCCTAGATCCCACGTTATGGAGATTTCTTATACATTTTAGTTTATTCATTTTTACCTTGGTAGGTATACCTGTTTATATTTACCTTGACTTTCATCGTCATTACGTATTTACTGGTCCCCTCTCCCTATGAGGATACAGTTTATTAAACGGCACAAGGTTCAGGTTACACATTATATTCTACAAATAATTGTAGCAGATACTAGGCTATCATACGCTTCAAGAAGATGTTCTAAATTCGAATTTCTTTGTTACAGAGGGGCGGTGTGTGAGTGTCGCACCGCCATGTCTCACCACAGCGACGAGCAGGCGCTCCTCACGGTCGCCTCCGACTCTTTCTGGGAGCCTGGTAATTATAAACGGACCACACGACGAATTGACGATGGACACCGGCTCTGTGGTGAACTACAGGCCCTTGTGCAGGAGAGAGCAGATATTGAGAAAACATACGCCAAAAGTTTGAGAGGATGGGCGAAGAAATGGAACGACCTCATCGAGAAAGGTGAGTTTTGCTTCATTACATTTCTGTACTTCTATCGTATCACTGACAAATTTTTGACTTCTGCATCAACAATGTCATAGAACCTATCTCCATAATAACCTTACGTATCAATACAGTGTAATCAAACTGACCATCAATATTGTGAAAGGACATGATATTTTCATTTTCCAACAATAGCTCCTATTGATAATAACCACTGTTATTTCGTTGACCGAACAGAAACACAATGGGCTCGGTCCGGACCCATTCACTCGAAGTATCAAAGATTGATTGTGTACTGTGGGCCCTTATCATTCAGCGACAATGCCCATTGAATACCCTTATTATTTATTTAAGGCTAATGTACTTTTTGTGTTACTCAAGTATTTCTACGTACAGCATAATATACTACTAAATAAACTTGAGGCATATGGTATCAGGGGAAATGTTTTAAATCTAATAACATCATACCTACATAATAGAAAACAAGTAACCCAAATTAGTAGAATAAATGTGAACACTCAACGTGAAGAAATTTTCACATCATGTGCGCGTACAGCTCCTCATGGAGTTCCGCAAGGTAGTGTACTTGGACCGCTCCTATTTACTCTGTATATAAATGATTTCCCTAAAGCCATTAAACATCCGATGACTCTGTTTGCCGATGACAGTACGATTACTATACCGTGCCATGAAAAAACTAATTATGAAATGGACATAAAAAGTACTTTAATTGAAGCGGTAAAGTGGCTTGATAATAATAATTTAAAAATTAATATAAATAAAACTATGATTATGCATTTTAGTCATCGATTATCCTTATTTTCTAATCTTGACATCGAATATAATAATAATAGAATACAAATTGCTGAAACCACAAAATTTTTAGGACTGACAATCGACAAAAATTTAAATTGGAAAGCGCATGTTGAATCTCTAGCCAAACGAATAAGCAGTGCGGCATACGCGTTATATAAATTATCGCGTACTGTAAATATAGAAGCGTTATTGACGGCCTACTATGGTTTGGTTGAATCGGTCATTAGATACGGTGTAATCTTTTGGGGTAACTCAACCGATAGGGATGTCATTTTAAGAGACAAAAATACTGCTTGCGATCTATGTTTAATCTCAAATCTACTGACAGCTGTAAAAATTACTTTATTAAATATCGTGTATTAACATTGCCTTCACTTTATGTATTAGAAATAACAATGTTCGTGAAGACAAATCCACATTTGTTTCCTCGTATGGCAGACAGATTTCCAAGGAATAGACGTGACGATAGCCAACTATGTTTACATACATCAAAAACTGCACTTATGCGCAAGAGTGTATTTTGCATGGCACCAATTATCTATAATAAATTACCCAAAAGTTGGAAAGAACTAACTATACCTAAACTAAAACAAACAATGAAATTGTTTTTGGCACAGAAAGCTTATTACAGTATAACGGAATTTTTAAGTGAGTCAGTGATTGTTATAAATAAATAACAATAAAAACTAACATTGCCCTAATTAAGGTTGTGTCACAGTGTAGGACACAAAGAAACATATTGTTAATATTATTACAATTGAATGTTATTAAATAATAAGTAAAATATATAATTTGTATAATAATAATTAAATCATTTTTAGTAAATATTAATTGAATATGAACAAATTAATTAATAATGTATAATGATACTGCAGATATTTAATGTAGGTATAAGTGTAAATTTTAAAATTAATGTAATAATTCACAGTCATTAAAATTTTTTTATATAAGTAATAGATATTTGCACGCCATGATAAATGGCAGACATGTCGTAAGCCACTTTTCTCTAAGATCTTGCATGCTGTATTATTTTAATTCTGTATGCACACACATGTTTGAGCAAATAAAATTCTTATTCTTATTCTTATTCTTATTCTTAAATGTTACCCATTACATTGAAAAAGTTGGTATTACATGACATATGTTCATTATATCCGCAGTCGTAATGCTTATTTCTAAATATGGTGGTCTATTAACAATTGACCAGAAAAAGAAAAGTCAAAATGCTGTATCATGTTCCGATAGGATTAAAAGAAGAATAAATCCTGCACGAACGATGTAATTAATGTATTTCTTGCATCTTTCTAATGAATATGACTTTAGATTTGATTAAATTAATCAAGTTATAGTCCTGATTAATTTCACTTGTTTCTACCACTAAACTTAAGTGCGCTGTCAAATAAATCACCATAAATCACGATCTATTTTCGCAAACTCTTTACCAAAGCGATATTTATAGCCAATAATTGCCCATTACAAATCAATATTAAGAGAAATCTTTAATTACTGCTTCATATAACTCGGCACGTGTTGAAAGTTAATTAATTACAGGAATATATTGATGTCTTCGTCTTTAATGAATAAGAATCATCATGGAATTAGTGCAGTTCGTGATCATTTTTTTTTTTTTTTTTTATAATTGATGGGGCGACGTTTGACCACTATCTCACCTGTTGGTAAGCGATGATGCGGTCTACGTTGGAGCACGTCGTCCCATAAGCAACCTATTCACTCGGGCCTTGAAGACTCCCAGGTTATACCCTTCAGGAAATACAGACTCTGGCAAAGAATTCCACTCTTTAGCAGTACGCACAAGGAAGCTTGAAGCAAAGCGCTTCGTGCGTGTGGGCGGAACATCTACCATGAATCGGTGACGCTTCGCGGATTGTCTTGTGGTACGATGATGGAAAGGACTAGGGGGAATCAAGTTGTGCAATTCCCCCGCACACTCCCCGAAATGTATCCGGTAGAAAACCGAAAGGCTTGCAACCTTACGCCTGTGTTCGAGGCTTTGAAGCCGAGCCTTCACAAGCGCATCATCGTCGATGAGCCTCCTGGCACGCCTCTCAATGTGCTCTAACGCGTCCAGCTGATATTTAGCCGAGCCGTCCCAAAGATGAGAGCAGTACTCCATACAGGACCGAACCTGTGCTTGGTACAGGCTCAGCAATTGTTTCGGCGTGAAGTACCGTCTCACCCTCCAAAGGACACCCAACTTCCTACCAGCCAGTTGCGCTTTTGACTCTATATAGGAGCCAAAGTTGAGCGTGGGCGTCAGAGTTACACCAAGAAGCTCAAGTCGATCGGTTATCGGTACGGATACATTCCGGAAAGTAGGAGTCAGCGGAAATTGACTCCGTTTGGCGGAGAATAGACACGCCTGGGTCTTGCTAGCATTGAACCTAACCAAGTTGGCGTCACCCCAGTCGGACACCGCCTTCAAGGTCGAGTTCAAACGTTCGACCATGGATTCTCTTAAAGACTGGATCTGTGTTCCGCTAGTCCGCGCACCGGACACATACCTTTCAACAACTGTGCTGTCATCTGCATACCCAAAGATACCGGGCTTAAGCAGGTCGTTTATGTGCAGCAAAAAGAGCGTCGCTGAAAGTACTGACCCCTGAGGGACGCCGGCATTAATACCGAATTGGTCAGACGAGCAGCCATCGATGACTACTCGTATTGACCGATCCCTCAGAAAGTCTGCTATCCATCTGCACAGACCAGTAGGAAGTCCATATGCAGGAAGCTTGCCGATTAGACTGTCGTGCCATACCCTGTCAAAGGCCTTCGAAATATCGAGGGAGACTGCTAGTGCCTCTCCGTGCCCCTCTATGGCCTCGCTCCATAAGTGAGTGGCATACGCAAGAAGGTCCCCAGTCGATCGGTTACGTCGAAACCCGTATTGCCGATCGCTGAGGAGATCGTTACCTTCAAGGTATGCCAGGAGTCTATTGTTAAGAACACGTTCCATGCTCTTGCAGAGTATGGACGTGACCGAAATAGATCATATGCTACTATTAGTTCAATTAAATTCCGTAATGCAATGTTTATATGCTTTTTGTAGTGGTTCAATGACCGCGTTATTGATTGAGTAGTTGCATGCGCTAATGAAATGTCTTAAGATTTTGTGATTCTTTCCTGGGTAGGGAGAAGTACTTTAAAAAGGGTTTGATCTTCAATGGCCCAATTTGGATTAAATATTGTAGATTATTCAACTGTGAATTTTTTGTGACAAGAAAGAGCATGAGACCTGATAGTAACCAAACTTTTGGTTGAGATCTGCCCTATTCAATTGGATTTTTATGAAAATTCCAATTAGGTATGACGAAATTCATAACAATTATTATTATAGTAGCAAGTACACTTGATGATCTAAAAATTATCTTATGCGCTAGTTTTCTGCATTCCATCAAAAACTTTACTACTATCAGCCGTTCCACATCCAGCATCATACATAACTTCAATTGGCACACACAATTAAGTATTGCAATGACATCGGATCTAAAGATAGCGTGGGAATCGAATCTCTCTCCATGAGAATCACATACATCAGTTAGATCCCATTGATGCTCAGCATGTCTTAAATGCTATGGTATGAATAGAATTTAATATCGCCGGAACAAATGAGCTCTTGAATACCTGATTAACGACGGATTCGGTAGAAATTTTCGCTGGCATCGAACTAATCTGGAAATCTTCTTCAATATAAAAAAAATAAAAATTTGTTCACTAATATCTCGGTATTACATTGTTTTGATTTATTAGTATATGTGTGGGTTGAGATCTAGAAATGAATGTGTCTAATTTACTTTTAATCGTATGGTAAATTAGTTAATACTTTCTGATGAATATATCTATTCGCTTGCCTCTCTCCCTTTTAGGACTTGGGACTTACCAATTTTCTCTTAATATTCTAGAATACAACATCTTTGAACACAAAGGAGCTCAGGACAAATCTAAACTCTAAACTACTGCTAAACTGTTGTTGTTTAGCAGTAGTTTGGAGTTCAGATCTGTTCGAGGATTGTGCAACCATTATATTATAAGTATTTACTTATTTTATTTCCACACATATCCAACTACTTCTTAAATCCTCCACGGATCCCTTAGCACTTCGCACTTTGAAAATAACCGGAAACTTATTCAAGTATACTTCCATTGACGAATCAAAAGATTTCGATGTCTTACGACATGGTCAT